CGAAAACGATGGTCGGCGATGATGAAAAAGGAATAATACACTTCACTGACGTATTTAAATGTGTTATGTTTTTACACACAAGAATAAATTTCTTTATGATGTTTTTGTATAAGTATAACAAACTTTTATTGACAACACACCTTCACAAACCAGTAAAGCTAAAAGCATTTTTCATTTTATTGATAAAAAAGAAACTTCATCAATAGAATTTTTCTTTGTTATATATGGTTGGATAGAACAACATAGTAATTGAAAAAAACAAAACATTTGCTAATGGTACGCTGAATATACACTTTATTATTCACATTGCTTGATCTTTTTCTTTGTTCTCAATTGTAAATTCAAGGACATTGACAATTGTTAGTAGAGAAAAAGAAATAAAATAAAGAGTGATATGGTTAGGCATTGATGATCCACCATTCTTGTTCTACAGATGATTGACGTAGAAACAATAAGAATATTTGCTCTTCTTCTTCTTCATACAGAGTAAAATTTCAACTAAGTGAAGATGACTTTGTCTACTATGTAAAGTAGCATAAAGTCAGCAAAACAATTTAAAATTAGAAAAACCTTACTAGAGATGTATCTAACATTCATATCCACATCTGCATGTAAGTAATACCTAACGAGCTTCATATAACAGATGGCATTCATTTGAAAAAATAAGGGTTCTCGTCAATTTACTGACGCGAGTATAGTGAGCGGTAGCAACATTCAAAAATCCATATTATCCAAATCAGCTTATGAAAAGACGTACAGCTTCGGCTATTATTGATAAGAAAAAAGCGTACTTTTCACCCCTCATCTTTATCATATTCTTTGGTTATCATTATTTCCTTTTTGTAACAGAAAATATCATGACGAAATATTCGTATCTTTTTTTTTTTGTATTTTTTCTAATTTTTTAAGGCAAATACTAAGATGTCAGTCGTTCCAATTGCTTATTCTGAACGTGAAAGAACGATTATTAGTGGCGTAGGAGACGTGGCATTTGCACACCATCGTAAAGAGACAACCAGTGTCGGTGAAGCACGAGCAACAGGTATTACAGTGACTGTCCGAAATACTTATGCATCAAGGTACAATCATGCTGTAGATAATTACAATTCTTTACCGTTATCAGATAAGAAAAAAACTATGCGTGGTGGACATTTCTTGTTATATCGTTATGTTTTTGTGATTTTCTGGCTTATATCTATGATTTTTGGTGGTATCAGTGCTGTTCTAAAGCCACTAGTTACGATACCCATTCTCATTAGTTTGCTATACATTACTCTATCCATCTATAACATTGTAATTTTTAAGAAAAATGGTTCTGTGTTGCATCGTACATTGATGATGCAAAATAATGCTCTTGGTGAAAATAATGAATGGTATACTGTGCCTATCCATACACGTATTCAGGATAGCGCTGCGTTGGCAGCCGTTGGAGGTGATGATTCAGCTGGTCTGGCAGCTATACGTGCAGAATTTACAAATATGGAAGAAATCAAAATTATGGTATATACAGGTCGATATGTATCACGTTACACTTGCTTGGAAAAAAAAACCATTGCAATACATATAGTCGCCTTCCTTCTTTCATTGATATTTGGTATCGCTCTAGCAAGCGCTGTTCGCTAAGAGAAGTAAAGTATAGTAACTTAAATAGAGATTTTTTTCTTAGTGTTTGTGCCTCATTAATTTTTTGATGATTTTCAATAACAATAAACTTTTACTCGTGATTTTACCAAAATTATTATAAAGAAATTTTTGAGATTGAAAGCATCACACGACGCGTTTCGACTTTGCTTAAAGTTCCTCGAAAGGTAAGTTCAGTCATCTAGTTTTGCTGTCTATCAGTTAAGTTACGAAAGAGTAAAAGTTTTTTAAAATTATCGAGAATAATTGAAATTTCAAACAAGCTATGGAGGGTTTTACGTGAATGATCACGAATATTGTCTAGGTTTGTAACTTTGGAGAGAGAGAAAGAAAGAGATATTAAATATCACTATATATATTCCAGAAGATAAATTCAAGAATATACAATGTATTCACAATTGAAAGTATATACTTGTGAATCGATGCTTACGGTTGGTTTCGCTCTTACTTACGGGTGTGGGTGTGGGTGTGGGTGTGGGTGTGGGTGTGGGTGTGGGTGTGTATTAGAATAGTACGCCAACCCACGACAACGGTTGTTTC